AAATAATAATTTTGGTAAATGGCATGGGTCACCCAAACACACCTCTTTTCCTTTATGGCTTTACGACTCAACTGCTGCATTTTTTTTTCTGCTAGCAGCGGCATGAAAGATGAAGACATCCTGAGTTTTCCCTTTTTCTCTTTACACAGTAGACTTCCATCATGTGCACAAGGCATCAGATGCCTGTTCTTAACATCAAACAATACTTGTAAAATCAGGAATGTCAAAAGAACAGACAATGGGACAGAAATGTGTGAACCAAAAATAAAAAAGCACAGTTTGGGCTGGCTACATTGGTCCTTGAGATGAACTGGTCCTCTCTTTTAGATCATTTCTAAGTGCTTATTTAGTATCCGTCAGGCGTTTGTTATTATCGCCTGTGCTACAATAGTCAGAAGCTGGTTCTTTTATCATCAGCATCTGTTTGTTTTTATGGCGGCAGCCCCCCCACCCATTCAGAGTCAAGCGCTCTCTCTTAAAGTGATAGTTCACTCAAAAATAAAAATGGTAATTTACTCACTCCCACGTTGTCATAAATCTGTATGACTTTGTTTTTACTTGGAACACAATAAGAGATGTTTTAAAAAATGTTCATGCTGCTTTTTTCCATACAAAACAGCTTATAGTAGTGGTTCTCAACATTTAAGGCCCCGTTATCCGCACTATTTATTTTTTGGGGGGTTTTAAAAATGTGCCCTTTGTGTCAGAACATAGCATGTAAATGGGCGACTATGAAAAGACGCTGAAATCACATGATGAAAATGAGTACATTTTCAGAGGAAGTGGATTTTGCATGTCATTCCTATAGTAACAGCAGCCTGCCTGCCCTGTGCCTGTTTTTACAGATAAAACATCACAAACAACATTCATAAATTCAGATCATATTTTTGTTTGTTTTCTTCGGCATGCACATGCAGTATTAAAAAATACAGTTAGATCAGCAAATACTTGAAAAAGTGTAAAAATCCAGTGCGACAGTCTTTGAGTTCTTGAGGTTAGCATGGTTCTTGATTGACAAAGGTCAGCAGTGAGATAATCCATTCAGAGTACTGAGCCTACATTCCCATATCGTCTTTTGGCATCTTATTTTCAAGATGTAAAGCGACTTGTTTAGGATTTTTGGATGGGTTATGTTATTTTTTTTCACAATAAAAAGGCTTGAGACAAATGTGTTACATTATGTCCTGCTTATTCTCTGTGATCTTTTGAGATAGGGCTGCATGATTAATCAAAATTAAAACCCAAGTCGTGAAATGGCTTAATGCAATAATCAAATCACAAAGGCTGCGATTTCATTTAATAAATATATGCAAAGCGTGTTTCAGACAGAAACGCAGCACAGTGTTCGTTTACACATGAGCAGCTCATAATCTGGTGTTTTCAGTGTCGCAGTAAACACTGCTCCACATAAACATCTCTGGATCTACTAGTTTGAGTTGTTTATGATGTGCATTTGTTAAATTAATATGCAGCTAACATAATTTTGTAATGACAAACATGCACAGAATTTTTTTATCCCCACATCATGCAGCCCTACTTTGAGAGACATGATGGAAACATAAATCGGTATCTGGATCCGACCAAGCTTGCGATTCATAATGCTAAGATCTTCTGTGCATGGTCCTATCTGTTAGGCTGGAGTTTTAGTCTCTGACAATAATGGATGATCTCACTGTTTAAGCATCTTGTAAGAAAAACGCACCCCAGTTCTTAAAATGCAGCCGTATTTAACAAACCCCTGTTTGAAATGTTGATTAAACGTTTCCTGCTGCGTTTCCAAAATGGGAGATGAAAACAACGAGACAAAAACAACTATGATATTGTAGCTAAAAATCATTTACAAAGCACAACTGGGAAAAGACACCCCCCACCCCTCAAGCTTCAAATTTATCAAAAGACTCTTTGAGCAGAAAAAAAGCAAGAGCTAGTCCTCAAATCAGTAAAAAAAAAGGGCCTCCACTCCCACACGTTTAAATCCAGACAAAATGATGAACTCAGACAAGCCGACACCAGAAACATTCCTTTGCTTTTCTGTGCATCTCCATGCACAATCTCAGACCTCACCAAGGCACAGTCAGACTCCTATATATTCTCATACAAATACATTCCTGAAAACGGTCAGAGGGACTGGCCCCCTCCACGGAAAACAAAAACCAAACCTCTCAGGGCCCCTCTCCACCTAGGATAGACATGACCTGATCATATACCATGGAAACCCGGCAGCTATTTATCGGTAGTATGCATTGCAGAATGCCAATACTGTCCAATGACAGCAGAGATTACAAGCCCTCTAAAAGAGAGTAAGTTCCATCCTGATGATGCGGTTTCATAACAAAAAGATTTAAATGTGCAGTCTGGAATGTTCCTCTCGACTACAGCCTCTTTTTTTTGCAGACTCAGTCCCGTCAACGGCCTCTACTCGTTCTTGTTGTTTGTGGCTCGACACAAACACACAAGTTATGTAAGTAGACTACTGAGTGGCCCATCTGCCATCTGGCTATAGCTGAGTGGCGGTTTGGAGTTACACAAACGATTCAGTCTACGCTAAGACAGTCAGATTGGGTCAGTCTGACATGGGATATGCACACCCACTCTAAACATCTGCACAGATCCAACACTAATACCAATCAAAGACATATGGGTATTCGATTAACATCGCACTACATCGATGTGTGGGAAAAGAGATGGTGAGACTTTTCTGCATCTTTTAAAGCGGCTAAACTAGCATGTTAAACTCTGGACCTGGTGAAAGTTCAGAACGGAAAGCATCTTAATCTGTTCCCTAGGATCTGTACACCGGTGTGTTAAAGTAGCTTAGACTATCGATCAAAACAGTTACACATTTTGAGTAATATAATAGCATTATTAGTTATTGATGTTAATTACCTATACGGTATGTTTACACAGAACCAGAGAAGACTACTTAGGCTAAAGACAGCTAACACCTCGGCATCCTGCTGGATCTGAACAATAAAAGCTTTGTACTGCATTACTATGAGACATGGACCCAAGTAGGTATTCATGAGCAGCACTAGTCCTAAATACGGTTTACCAGGTAGCTTATATAAGTATTGTAGGTGCATTATAAACTGTTTAACCTGTGTATGAATTTGGCGATAAAGAAAGTAAATATTGAAAACATGCCATACTCATGTTGCAGCTTGATATGCACCATGTGTCTGTTAAATTACATGTTGTACAACAAAACAAAGGCCTGTGCACAAGAAAACTAGCACCCCTAATGAACACGAGTAATGCGCCGTGGCCTAGCTAACAAAACTGCAGCCAATATATAAGCACCATGGTGACAGGTGTGTGAAACATCATTAGAAACCAAATGCACCGTGATCTTAACTTCACATAACAGCTTATCCGAGGCAAGAGCATATTTTTAGGTAACATTTAGAAATATATTCCCACTTCCTAAAAGTCTTATTTGTAGGAAACGTGATGGAAAGAGTTTCCCCAAGTATATACTGAATGTAAACAACTGTAGACATCAGCTTGCCGTCTTACGTAAAATGCCTGTGAGATCTCTTAGACCATTTGATCTAAAATAGCACCAGGAAGGGAATGGAGGGACAAGCAGCAGCCTCTGAGATGTTCCTCACACCAGCGGAGGGGCCAAAATATGCAACTATTAATTATTGAAACCCAACTTCATCTCTGGCATGAGATCACAAAAAGTTTCAATAAGCATTCGAGTAAAATTGGAGTGCTAGAGCCCATGGGTGCTGGTGTGCGGCTTCAGCATAGCTGTGCTTTCACAAACAGGTTGCCTCCAGTCATACGGAAAGACGCAAGGCCCTAGAGACCTTTTCCTTGCAAGATCTGTTGAATTGTGTCAACAGAAAGTGAGAAAAAGGAAAATTATAGATCAAAATGCAGAAACAGTCATGAACTCTTGGTCATTTCTGGATTTTCTGTTTTTCTATTAAGACACTAAACCAGTGGCAGTTTTAAAGTGTTTTCTTGGAGGTGTTATTTAAATGCGTATTCATTTTACATGGATCTTAATTATAGATTCACATTTAAAATGCCTTTAGTTTTTTCAGTTCGTGTAGTATCTGTCTTTATTCACACAGGCAGCAAAATTCAGATTTTTTTTTTTTTGGTCAATCCATTGAGTTTTTTGTAGTCTGAATTCATGAAAGACCACATAAAACAAACCAGATCCAAACCACATCCATTTTTGGTGTGAAATTACATTAAATTAAAATCCATTTCTCGCCATATCAAGTTTTTTTGTATTCTGAACTGCAGAAGACCACAGGAAATCTGATGTTTATGAACCAGATCCAAACCACATCCATACCAGGTCATCAGATCATATTTCTTTAATGCATCTTAGTGTGAACGGAATCAGATTCCAAGTAGTCTACTGTACTTTTAGATGTTTATGAGTCGCTTTTAATCGCTTGTCAGGATGATGGTTATAGCATTTGTAAATAATCCATGTGGAGACATAGGATATTGACTACATTGTACAAACAAATGGATCTAATAATTTAAATCGGATTTGAAACCAAATCTGATTTATGTGCAGTGTGAACAAAGCCATTCTACCAATAAAACCAAGTGTTACGCTGGGCATAAAACATTTTGTTTGGGGGGTTTAATACTATATACCTTATCTATATACACATATCGACAGTAAGTGAAAGGGAAACAGTGTGATGAACAAAACAGATACAGACAATGAGTTGATCACAATAAGCATTGTTTGCAAGTTTATGATGAGTTAACTAGCTTGTGTTGATGTTACGTAGACGATATCATATTAGACTGTATCAGAGCCACCAAAACAGTTCCAGATTACAATTGCCAACCGAGCTGCCATATTCCTTAAGAGCCAAACCAAGTGTTGACGTCTTGGGACAATTTTTCTGGTCATCCTTTGCAAAGAAGCCCATCGTGAAAACACGTCCATCCTCCTGTGACCAGTGTTCTGCTGTGTTACACGATACTGTACCAACTACAGAAGAATAACACCGTCAGCATGACTGAAAGGGGGAGCTGAAAGTCCTTCTCTTCCCATATTTATTTTTATTATTTTTGCATCGAGTAATTTCCATTCAGGGGAGCTGTCCAGTCAACATCCCAAAACAAACCCCTGTGGTGGTACATTCTTGAGAAGACAGGGTTTTCTAGCTGTCCAACCCTTAACCTTTAGTAAAATGGGCAGGAGAAATGTGAAAATGTGCCCATGGAAAAAGAAACACTTCTCCAGTTGGGTTTTTATAGCACTTACACAGTCTGAAAGAGAGCTTTCTTCTCTTTTAAAAAGAGCATGGACAGAGGCTGGTCTTGCCCTGACTGGTCCTTTAGGAACTGACAAGAATGTTTTTAAGCAGTATACTTAACACAAACAAAAAGATCGATCACAAGTCTTTTTTTATTTTTGCAGTGTAAAGCAACTCGCCTCAAAGGGAGAGTTGGAAATCTGCAAAGATTGGGAGTGCGTCCGTTGGTTTAGGAGGGAATGCATAAGGGTTTGACTCTCGAAGTCCATGTGGGTTTAAGGTGAAGCAGGGTGGGGTTGTGGTCAGCAAGAAAGAGAAGGGACGTATTTCATTATGCTATGCATGCAAAGGAAGCCCACCCTGTTTTTGTGTGTAAGCCGTCGCAGCTGTTTCAGTCAACAAATCTCTGGCAGGCTTTCTTCCAGCGGCAGGCTGTGCACCACATGTCTCTGTTTTCCATGCCGTACACCTTACGACACTTCTTTCCCTCGCCTCGTGACTTCCTACTGCACAGCGCATGACACAAAACACAAAAAACGGTTTTACAAAAAAAATTTCAACATACAAAAGTAAACATTTTATTTAAAAAAATGTGTACTTCCATAATTAAAATTGGATTAAATAATTAGTTATTGCTGGATCATATTGTGCCTGGAGCTCTAAATCTAAATGTAAAAATAGAAATAAATGAGCATTCATAATTAAATATACAATATCAACGAACTGCGATAAGTTTAAAAACGATCTAATATCTGATAACCAATATGGTACCTTTCAGTATCTAAATATGATCCTACAGCCTATTATAGGGCACTATGATTTCCGCGATGTGGACAACGCGGACAGAATTGTGGAATCCAGTCAAAATATGGAATTTACTGTGTGTTCTACTGTGTGTCTGTTCTAATGCGGAATGTCATGGAATTTGCCAAATTTTGGATGGAAAAAATCAAAAGTAGGTCAGTACACTTAAATCAAAACGCAATACACCAAAATACTATTTAAATATGAATCCTGCACATTCTTCATAATTCTGATTATTAAAATTTAATGAAAACATTAAAATGGAATCCAGAAAATTAAATGAAAACATAATGTGGTAAAAATAAAACTAAATTTGAGAAAAAAACAAATTTCATATGGCCTTAAAAAGGTAAAAAAAAACAAAAAACTTTTTTGTTAAACTTTTAATACACTGTTAATTATTGTACATTTAAATATTGTAATTTCAATTAATTGTGCATGCGTTTTGATTAATCAAATTTAATTTAACCATTAAAACAGAGTCTAGTAAAATTAAAATGGAAAAAACGGAATCCAGAAAAATTTAAACTGAAAAAACAGAATCCTGACAAATTAAAACAGAATTTGGGGAAAAAAAATAAAATAAAACGGATTTCATAGGGCCCTACTATTAACACAACACCACTGGGTTTATGGACTTTTCACATGCTTCTGGCATCATACCAAGTAAGCAGAGAGCAGAACTTATTGATTGTACTTTTCCACACTACTTAAAGAGTTTATGATGTGCGACTAGATTCTGGACACTCATAAAATGTGTAAGAATGTCCCTTACAGGAGCCACACCTCCAGCTTTCGTCAAGTCTAACCACAGCCTTTGCTTTACTATGCTCATTTCTTCTGATGTGAAACTCTTAATTTAAGACTGAAAGGAAGTGTAGTTAAGACTGTACCTGAGTGAGCCTGCGGCTCTGGGGGGAGAGGAGAGCACTGCAATGGTCTGAGAGCGCTGCTCCCCAAAGCCCTGCGTCCGGCTGTGAGTGGGAGAGGCCTGCAGTCAGACAGAGAGCGAGTTAACATCCCTCACACAAGGCCAAAGACATCATTCATCCATTTCCTGTCATAAAAATCTCAACGCACAATTTATAGAGAAACTGAGCATAAAATTCAGTCTGTTCAGCTTGTTTTGGGAGCGTTTGTGTATTCGGTTATGTATCAGTGTTGTGATACTTGTTAGACTGACTCACATCTCACAGTTGTGTTTGCACATTTGAGTTACCTGACATCACTGACATCAAATGAGGCCAAACTGTGGTAGATCAGTAGACGATTATGAAACACAATCGGTCAGGACTCTACTGTGTGTGTATAAAGGGACAGTCTATTGCAAGACACACTAGTTCAGTGTGTGCATGTGTGTGATGGGCACAGGAAAATGTGTGTGTGTGTCTATGTGGGTGTACTCACAGAGGTGCCAGTAAATGTGACGGGTGGAGACTGCCAGGAGATACTGAAACTGCTGCTGGAGGGGGTGAAGCCAGTGGAGCTGGTGGAGGGGATGGTGACAGGGGCTGTGGCCTGTGGAGTGACAGTCACACTGATATACTGTAGTCTCTACGGGCCTGCGATTATGACTGGGCTGTATGTACGTATGTAATAACCACTTTGACAGCATCTAGTATTCAAAAAATAGGCTTTCCTTCATTGGTCAATTCAAAGCTATGTGACAGTTCAGTATAGGTTTTACAAACATTGTTTAACAGGGTTATTATTATATATTTTATTAATTAAGTTTTATTATTTTGTTTTTGTGCTTTGGTTTACAATTTCAGTTTTTAGTTTTAATCATGCAATTTAAAAAAAATGTAATACAAGTTTTAATTTGTATTTTTTAAAACTGTTTTAAATGTTTCTTGAGCAGCAAATCAGCATATATGAATGATTTCTGAAGGATCATGTGACACTGAAGACTGGAGTAATGATGCTGAAAATTCAGATTTGACATCACAGGAATAAATTATATTTTAAAATGTATTAAAATAGAGTTATTATTTATATTAAAATGTATAAAAATGAATTATTTTAAAATGTAATAATATTTCACAATATTACTATTTCTAATGTATTTTGATTAAATAAATGTAGCCTTGGTAAGCGTAAAGAGACTTCTTTCCAAAACATAAAAAAATCCTACTGACCCCAAACTTCTGAATGGTAGTGTATGTGATCCCATTAATAGGAACATAATCTTATCATAATTCTCCTCACGTGTGACCTTTTCATGCTTTATATTGTGACTGAAGGGCGTCTCTATGCACAGCTTGACCTGTTGAATCTGTCTTCATATCGAGAGGACTTTCTGATATGAAATGTTCTGCTTGCTTTCTGAAATTGCATTGAAATACTAGGTCATATCCATACTGTATTTGTCTAGTAGTTGTGTTCTGAGAGCATCAGAGTGAATCTCTGAAGTGATGTAATGTTATGTAAATGATGTGCATAGCTCATCGTGATTGGTTGGGCTGTACCTGGTAGGCGTGGTCTGTGTGCACTAGGTAGAGTGCGCTGGGAGCAGAGCGGCTGAGAGGGGTGGTGGTGCTGTTCTCGCTCTTTGCTCCGTTAGTGCCATCCGGCTGTCTCTGGTCCAAACCCGGCGGGGGGGACAGCACAGACGGGGACACAGGAGACAGACTGCTCAAACCGTCCGCCACAGAGTCGGTGTTCAGCTTGATCTCAGTGTAGTAGAAATCCTCCTCTCCATCACTGCACTCTGAGTCACAGTTCCTCCTGAAGAGAGACGAACCAAAGAAACATTTTAATATTGACACTGTGATTTGCTTTCATTTAATGTGCACAACTATTATAACTTATTTACAGTTCTGCACTACAGTACGACAATAATAATACAGCACTATACTTTACTGTCATAATTTACAGTCATACAAAGGTAAATCACAGTATTTCAACACGATACTGAGAAAAATGACTTTTTAAATAAATGTTGACTGATTTTCATATTTTAATCATTTTAATTTTATATTTTAAGAATGAATAATTTAATACAATTTAAAAAACAGCCAAACCTGCCATAGTCTGAGACTGATTTCATAACTACCATAGTAAGATTTTGTACAACATTATACTTCACATACCATAATTGGACATATCATACTTGATATGTACTTCATATGTTGAATGTTTTAACAGTTACGTACTTAATGCATAACTGTTAAGTTTCTCATGTCCTTCTACTGAACCATATTTCTGAAAGATGAGATCTTCTTAGAAATCCTCCCGGTATCTTCCAGCAGTACTGACACTTGCACAGGTTTAATTAGACTTCAGCTGAGAGAAACATAAACCTTCCTTCACAATCATCTGGCTTTCACTGTCATTACTTTGTGCCCAGCAGTAATAGTGTAAGTGTGGTGATAATCCTGCTGGAATTAGTCTCATGTTTTGACACTGAATCAGGAGCAGGCTGCAGTCTCTTATCTCTCACTATAGGCTATCCAGAGTTCACTGTGATGGATGTCAGCCAAGAGATGGTGGAACACCATAAAAATGTGAATGGGTTTCTGTCTGATGAGAAACGTACTTTGGAAAAGTTTTTTTTTTAGTAATAAATGTGAATGTTAAAGAAATCTTAAGTCTTTTTTTGTATGCACATGCTGATGTATTGGGTTTATTTTGAGGTGCAAGCATGACTATAAAAATATCTGTGTGGATACACGGGGAAGTGCACTGAACATGACAAAAATCTGCCATAATTTAACAATTTTCCCACACTTTATGGATTTAATTTTATATACTGTATATATACTACCATTTAACAGTTTCGGGTTGGTAAGATTTTTAAATATTTCCGGAAAAAAGTCTCATGTTCACCAAGGGTGCATTTATTTGATCAAAAATACAGTAAAAACACTAATATTGTTCAATATTATTAGAATTCAAAATAACTATTTTCTATATTTTAAAATGTAATTTATTCCTGTGATGCAAAGTTGAATTTTCAGCATCATTACTCCATATTTCAGTGTCACGTGATTCTTCAGAAATCATTCTAATATGCTGATTTGCTGCTCAAGAAACATTTTGTATTATTGAAAACAGTTGTGCTGCTAAATATTTTTGTGGAAACCACAATATTTTGTTTTTCAGAATTCTTTGATGAATTGATAGTTCATCAGAAAAGCATTTATTTAATATTATAAATGTCTTTACTGGTACTCAGTATCAATTTAATGCATCTTTGCTGAAAGAATACTGACCCAAACATTTGTTGGTACTGTAACAAACACCCCTCTCATCAACAGTTTGTATTAGCGTTAATACACAAGGCAAAAAAATGGTTAAAATGAATTGTATTGTTAGTGAATAAGATACATTTTTTTGTGATACCACAGGTGCCTTACCCCAGGTGGACGGTTCGAATGTGCCTTTGGATCCCGGCAGCTGTGCTCAAGACCTTCCCACAGTTCTTCCACAGACACTTGAACATCACCTTCATGGAGTTCTGTCAGGGACACAGGTGCACAGTGAGTACACTAATCCACATCAATCAGCAGACCTCTTGTCCCCAGCATTCAGACGCTCACAAAGGACTGACACGAGGATGCAAGGGGTGCGAGCGGAGCCCAGAGCCTCAAAAAGACGCCCACCTTAGACGTCTCTCTTGCTTTATTCTGAGGCTGGTAATTGGTCTGCATTGAGAGTGACACTATAGCACAGTCTTTCAAAGCTCGTCATTTTTCACACAGTGTGTCTGCACTAATTACACAATTGTCATTTGAGAGTTGCAGCTCCCGTGTCAAAACTGCACTCGGGTTGAAAGCACAAGTGAGCATAAGTGAAGATGAAAGTCTTAATACTTTGATCTCTCGACATATGCTGTTATGCCAGTGGCATGTGGTACGTTTGTTTACCATTGTTATGACGCTAATTGAATTTTCATTAGATAGCCATTGTGTTGGTCTGGCAAACAAAGCAGCTCCTTCCCGCTTAATCGGTTCGTCATGTCCCTGGATGACAACAGCGCCACAATTCCCAGTGCTATAAACCAGCTACTAATTAATAACACAGTTCAAACTGGCTGGTGTCCTCATGTTGAAGTCAATTCTCTAGAAGGCAGCTGAAGGTCAAAGCAGAAAGCTTTGCCATTTTTCTTTTTTTTAGGAAAGGCCCTTTAGAAGACGCTGCCAGGAAAGACACTGAGATATGACTGATTGATGGGTTGGGATGCAGCTAATGGTTCCACAGCAATTCCTAGAAATTATTCTAAAAGGAACGGCACTTATTCATCAACAGCGTTATTAATTATATATATGCGATATACCGGTAGACACGGTAGAGATTTTGGGTTATTGTCTCTATCACGGTTACATATACGTGATGTTGCTGTGCTACATGGTAATGAAGAGCGTATCGTTTGCATGTGTTTTTAAGCGTTTCGGTTTAAAAATTGAGTGATTTAAAGCCATTGAAATGCAATCAGCAGTGAAAGTTAATTTTGCTATATGTGCAAGCTGTCTGAGAGACACGCGCACGTGAAGACTGTGCTCATAGAGTTATTTTTGCTGCTTTATAGGCCTTGATCGGTTAAATACCGATAGTACCGGTCTAGTTTAAAATGAAAGGACCGAAACGACCGTTTTCTCATGCTGAATGATAAGCAGATGAAATATCATGTGTTTAAAAAAACAACAAAGAGCGTGAAGAAAGTTCCTAGTCTGTTTTATTTTAGGTTCATCATCAGGCTATCTATCCAATTTGTTCTCCTTTTAAGATTGCTATTTTATACTTTATTATACAATAAGGTATATAATACATAAACAAATAAATTTTAATGTTATGTTGCTTCCATTGCCCTCATTTTTAAGTTGCTTTGGATAAAAGCGTCTTCTAAATGACTAAATGTAAATGTAATACACACTTGTATGTTTCAAAATGTCCATCTTTGCAAGTATCCTCATAAGCACAGTAATTTAGGTCTTAAGTGAAAACAAACAGCTGAGAAAGAAAACATGTAAGTGTATTGGATCCGGGCAGCTCTTAAAGTGACAGCAGTCTAATATTCCTGCTGTCTGTCATTCATGTTAATCAAACAACAAAAGAGAGAAAATCTATCACTGTTCTTGACTAAATCACTTTTGTAACTTTAATAATAAGAAATGTATATTTAATTTACACAGTGAAGAATATGCAGTTTTTATACATTTGATTACTTTATAGCCTACAATGTATGTAGCATTTCTTATTTAACTGTTCTAATGTAGTTTTTTTGTCCTATTGCTTGTAATTTTTCTTATTCTTATTTAATTGCTGACTGTTTACTTGTCTTCAGTGAGCTTGAGTTTTTGTTTGTCTGTTTTTAATTTAGGCTAGTATTAGTTTTTTTGTGATATTGACACTGGTGACAAGAATTATGAAATTTCTATAGTATCAAACATTTTGATATCATAAAGACCTTATTTAAAAAAAATTATAAAATAATATTTCAAAAATAATAATATTGTAATATATATCGTTACCGTGAAATAAAATTACTCATATCGTGATATAAGATTTTGGTCATATCGCCCTTCCCCATTTACCATGGTGGTACCATGATTTTCTTGGAAGTACTTTGGAGTATCATCTAAACACCATGAAGTACCACACTATAACAAATCACGAAGAATAACATGATATTACCACCACTGTACCATACTACTGTCAAAGTAATTTTTGTAAAGGATGTAAGTACTATGGTACATAGTCAGTATACAATGAACTACCACAGTTTTAATGGTAACACCATGGCTTTGAAGTTAATACCACAGAACCATCATGCTATTTTTGAAGTACCTTGGAGTGACTATGTACATATCAACATATTGATAACAACATTGTTCAGTACTACCAAAAAAAACAGTTTCACCATCTAATAACATGATAACCATTATTGCACCATGGTACCATCACAATATGTTTCGTAAGGGCTTTAAATTTGATTACATATTTATATTTTCAACATTTTAAATATTTGTAATAACATAATGACAAGTTGCTTAATTATTTCTGTATAATATGTCCATGAAATGCATATTCTACATTATAGTAGTGATAATGAAAACAGGGCACTGACAAACACTGGCACTGTTGTTGTCCTGGAATCCTAAACTGGAGAGACAATAACAGAGATAAAGGAGGTCTATTCATTCTCACAAATGAGGGATGACTGACAGAATCTGGGATGCACCTGACGTGAGCCTGACGAACTGGAAGATAAAGTATATCGGTGCCTGTGAGCAGCCTACTGCATTGGTAACCAAGTAAATTGCCTCTCTACACAGCATCATCATGTCTAGTAACGGCACCTCCAAATGAGCCACATCCTAGAGAGGACAGTATGTCATATGTATGTCAGTATGTCAAATAATCTGTCTGCAAGGCTAATATAAGACCACATATAAATCACTTTTACACATCTTCCTCTAAATTCAGGAAATAGTCTTGTCACACACAGGAATAAAATACAAATTACAAGGGCTGTCAATCAATTAAAATAATCTAATCGTGATTTAGGTCTCAAAATGCATATTTCTTCTACTGCATTGAAACACAGGTAAAATGCACTAAACAAAGAGGTTTTTGCACTGGTTTGTGGCTGCAGTTCTTTGATTAGGGTTGGAAGGTCGTTGTATCATGTCTGTTAAATAAATAGCAATTGAAATGCATATTTTGAGTCCTGAAGATTCTGTATATAATTTATATTGTAAATAAATTGGAATTAATCAAATCACCTGAATCACATACATGAACTTTAGCACCCTTAAAAAATACATACATACACAATTCCTATAAATTTCAAAGGTTGAAAGGCATTACAGTCATGGTTGAACATTCTGTCATCAATTACTCACCCTCGTGTCATTCCAAAGCTGTAAGACCTTTGTTCATCTTTGAAACACAAATTATGATATTTTTGATGAAATCAGAGAGATTTCTGATCCTGTATAGACAGCAACGCAACTGCCACGTTCAAAGCCCAGAAAGGTAGTAAGGACATCGATAAAATAGTCCATGTGACATCAGTGGTTCAACTGTAATTTTATGATTTTATGACTACCTTTCTGGGCCTTGAATGTGTCAGTTTCATTGCTGAGAGCTCTCTGATTTTATCAAAAAAATCTTAATTTGTGTTCCAAATGTCTTACGGGTTTAGAACGACATGAGGGCAAGTAATTAATGACAGAATTTTCATTTTTGGGTGAACTATCCCTTTAACTCAACTGATGCTAGATTTTGCAGACACCCATAACTTGAGTTTAAAAACCCAATTCTGATTGGCCTGATTTGAATCAGCCAATCATTTTAAAATGAATATACTGAATATATCGAAAAATGTCTTTATTCTAAAGGAGTACAACCCGATTTATACCACCAATGATATAAAAAAAAAACTATAATACTGTTACTTATTTTTTACAAATATTCAATATTTGCAAAAGCTGTTTTTAGTGCCGATGCATATGCAAATCAACCCTCTAGTATTCAGCACTCAAATACAAGTCTTTGTCTCACTTTAAATTGCATTTAAATTCCACTTCAAGGATCACAAACCCTGCCAGAAACATGTGCGGCAGCGTGGCAGCGGATTTTTGTGCCGCTTGTTGTAAATCTATTATCCCCCTTTATCCATTATTCCTATAGTAACGTTTAACTAAGTTACGTCTGATGAAATCTCCATAAGTGAAGGTGAGATGACAGCAGCTCACCTTGCGTTTGCGGGGGATGGGCTCGTCGAACAGCAAGCTGTTCCCATCATGCTCATCGATGTTGTCGTCTGGTGGGCCGCTGAGGCTGGGCATCCGAAAGGGTTTGAAGCTGTCAGCGGACAGGGGAGGGGACGGCGTGGATGGGTTGGACTGGTCACTGGGCGCACTCCAACTCCAATATCCACTGCTGCTGTAGCTGGATGGAGTAAAGCCTCCGTCCTTCCATGAGCCGTTCAGACCCTCTGTATGGAGAGACACGGTGAAAGCATAAAGACACATTAAGTGCAGTAATTACCATCATCCCGACATATATACTGCTTTATAATACACTAAACTTTCAATTAAGTGTAATGAGGAGTGAAAAGACATAAATGTCATGTTAGTTTATGAAACTCTCAGTGTGCAGCGGTGCTGTAACACACTGTAATAACAGAAAGTTAAAGTCCTAATTATATTACATAAAAGCCACAATTATAGTACTCCATTAAAGCCCTTCAAAAGTTATAACACATCCTCATCAAGGTCTTAAAGGGGCCACATGACATACAACATGATTGTACTTTTACTTGTTTCCCTTGGACTTTTTTGTTTCTTTGTGTGATTGTATTTTTAGCTCATTATGAGTCTTGAATCTTCCTCAAAATAATGATTTTTGATGTGAAAACATACTGTCATAAATATAGTCTTATAAGTTATAAATGTAGTCTTATAAACTTATAAATGTACCTATATGTCTTAAAGGTACAGTGTTAAAAACTGTGGAAGGTCAGATAGAGAATATGAATGGCCGTTAAAACTAAATTATGACTGTTTTTGGTGCAAGACGCCTTTACTAACATTTTAAAAGTACTTCAGGGAATAAAATGCTACGAAAGTGTAGAATATGGCCCCTTTAAGTTATTAGTAGATGACAGCTTTAAGAGAAGACAGCAAAAGTCAGTCTCATGACAGCTGAACTAGTGCACTACCGTCTCATGTGACAGTTTTTCATGCACATGTGACTGTAAAAACAGGAAATAGCTGAGTGTAGAGCAAGCCGTTTCTGCAGCTCAAAGCAGACAGTGTGAAAATGATTTCATGAGGGCTGAGATCACAGTGTGGTTGTGATCTAAAATGACTTACCACTAACTTTTACAGGAGGGCTGCGCACCAGAGGACTAGTGGACAGGCTGGTCAACACCATGGCAGCTGTCACTTTGTCCATGTCCACCTCCTCCTCTGATTTTCTGTAAAAGCAAGAACCGGTACTTAAAATCACCATGGAATCAAAAATGAGAATTCTTATTCTTATAATCCGTCCCATCGAACACCTGATGATCACGAGACCACAACAACTAGTAAATGTCAATGATCCAAACAACACCTGATAGACAAAATTAAGTTCAGATTTTTTTTTCTCATTTGAGATGATGTTTCACTCATATATACATGTCACAATAGAGAGATACTTTAGATTTTTGCATTTTTTCAAAGATCTGACTACTTTGCAAGGGATTATTAGTCACATGACATGATTTACAGATCAGGTGATTGTTTTAAAACTGCATGGCTGCATGTACAAAAAAAAATTTATTTGAATATTTGGGTAGGAAATAGGCTAACAAGCTAATCAGCTGTCTGTCTGCTAAGTTAGTGTCAAAAAACTTTCACAATTTTGGAATCTACTATTATACATAATTAAAGGGGTCATATGATGCGATTTCAAGCTTTCCTTTCTCTTTGGAGTGTTACAAGCTGTTCGTGAATAGATAAGATCCCTAAAGTTGCAAAGACTAAAGTCTCAAACCCAAAGAGATATTCTTTATAAAAGTTAAGACTGGTCCACACCCTCCTAAAACGCCTCGTTTAAACACGCCCCCACATGTCTACGTCACGATGTGGGAAGATTTGCATAACGCTGCCCAAATGTTCACGCAAAGAAAGAAGTCGTAACTTTATTGTTGCTGCCACCGCCGCCGCCATGTGAAGACGCTGCGTGTTTCGTTGCGAAAGCACACAAACACATTTCATTACACCAAATACATAAAATAATGTTCTTTTTAGCAACATCATATGACCCCTTTAAAAAGATAAAATTCTAATCATTCACTAAATAGAGGATCCATTAGAAGTTCTTTCAACCAATCAAATCCAATGACAACTGTTCATGCCACCAGGGCTCCTGAGATGAACGCAAATTCTAATGTTAACTCTCCTCAGGTATTATAGACTTCCTTGATTCAGGCTATTACAAACATGTTGCTCTGAGCTTCCATTCCAGCTGCTGCTTTCATAGTTGTGGGATCTCCAAAGCTGCACCGCACAGCGTTCCTATGATGGATAGAACAGGAACATCTGTCCTGACAGATGACTCTCATCACTCACAGATGAAGTGTACATGTCTCTTTATGATAGCATGATGGTGTATGATGATATCTCAACGTGACCCGTTCCCGCAATGGGAACGGAGCGGCTGATTTTGCAGCATTTACAGTTTTGTAAACAACAAAAGAAGGTTGTGTGAAAGACACAGTGTTTTTATATAGCAAAGGACATCTGTAAAATCTCAAACGGGTATTTTGTGCCTGTGATTGAAGGATGGACGATGAATGCGCTGACGTGTGGAAGGAGTAATAAATCTTCTCACCTGTCAGCTCATTCTCTCCTGGGAGAACCTGAGCCACCCTGCCAAAGGCGCAGCATGAAATCTCATAAGCGAGAGAGACGGAGAAAGCGAGAGACCTCTGGCTGACAGAGAAACCCGGGACCTCCATTAGAGATAGGCCTAATTTATGCTTCTCATGCGGCGAGAATGATGTCTTTACGGCTTTCGGATAAATCACGGTAGGCTGCCATCCTCTTCTGATGCAGCTTTTCCCAAGACCCTACTATTATAGGTACTTCCTGGTCACCTTGGGAGAGCACGTTGGGCTTGATGGAGCTTTCCAGATAATGCCACGCTGGTGCTCCTGGACGGCGGCTAATTAAGAGCTTTAATAGCTCTCATCCAATGAAATATTGTAAATTTCAAGAAATCCATTAGATCCTGTGTAATTAACATGTAATATATTGCCACTCTTGAACAAAAAGGATCTCTGAAGTCCCAAATCACATGAGTCATTAGTGTCCTTATCAAGCCACGGGAGTGAAGCTGGGTGCACATTTATGAGTGGTAATTAAACGAGAAGGTAAGCGATACATACAGCTGCAAAACTCACATTTGACAGGTTGAACTGTTCTACATACAGTACACTCTACATGAGGGTTGATTCATATAATGATTTCAGAAATAACATTTTTGACAAATGACAAAATAACAAATGCATTGTGGCTTGGGATGGGTTAGGATGATCAACCGGTCATCCATCAACTAATTACTAGATTAGTGACTGGGGACAGAGGACCCCTTAAGGAGGCCACAAGGGGGTGCTTGGTGGTCCACCCAAAATTTGTCACACTTCACACTCGGGGAGCAAGGAACGAGGAAACGAGGAGTTCTTGAATATCACAATCTTTTAATAATCCACTCACAAGGGGAACGTAGGAGACACAGGATCACATGGAAAAATGTTCAGAACCGACAAACACTAACTGAATGGACTAGGGCTTTTAAACTCAGGATAATAAGGGAGGAATGAGACACACCTGGGATCAAATTAACATGAGGAAGAAACTGGGTCACAGGGAGCAAAAACACATAAACGGGTCCATAATCCTGACAAAATTTAGGAGAAAAAACATCTTTTGTTTTATAAAAAGTCAGAATACTACTTTGATGTGTTAAATTATTTTAAATAATATTTGATTATTTGATTTTATTACTGTTAATTTTTCTTTCTAAAGATCACAAGATTTATCACAATGATTTTATTCCATTGACAGTGCAGGTATTAAAATAAAATAAAATAAAATATTACATGACAAATGTGGTTTCATTTTAAAGGTTAATACATTTATAATTAATAATTGGTAGAAAAAGATACACTGTCAACTCCATATATACTAATATTTATTAACTAATAACAGCATTTATAATTATTAATATTTTAAATATATTATAATTATTAATAATTTTGACCTTAATATTAAGACAATAAAAACAGTTAAGTTAAAAAAAAAGCCTTAGTACAGTGACTATAATAAAGCGGTTATTATTTATTTTTAGATTAATTTTGCAGCATGTCCTATGTGAGCGCCCTTAAGAAATATGTCTGAACAGTCTGTGGTGGTCATGACCATAAACCAGCCTAATTACACAGGGCTTCTGACTGGTCGATTATGAAAAGATGTAATTTTGCACATCTCTAATCATGGCCTCTTCCCATCATCACTGGAATATCTCCAACTATGAAGCTGGAAAAACACATTATGGGAGTTGCTGTTCTCAAATAGAGAAGAACAGACAAACAGATGCTCTGCTAGTGCTGCATCTCATTTGCTGTTGGCTCACTCTCATCTCCCACCTAGGTTGACGTCTTTGGTTTTCTCAATGGGAGCGGGACAATATAATCATGCTCTTTCTGCTCATTTACAATCAGGCAGGTATAAATTAATGACCATGTTACAGAAATGAGCTTGGGTATGAATTGCCCAGATCTAAGAGCCATTAATGTAATTCTTCCCGTGGCCACCCTCATTTGCAGGAAGCCAAACGTCAATGGGTTTATTTGGTCATGGGGGTAAAATGGGTGAGATGGCCGCCAGCCAGAAGGGGGAGGCAGTTCACAGACATCTGTTGTGATTCAATGAACAGATGTGCCAACTTTTTGTAGCCATCCAATCTCGCAAGACAAATGAGAGAGCGGGTGGCTTGAGGAAGGCTATCCTACGTACCTTCAGACATCTGGACCTTTGTGTTTAATGAGTCCACTGAGGAGGCCTGCGCCCACATTGGCAGAAAACTGAAAAGATGTTTCCAGTTTCAAAAAGAACAGTGGTTTAGGGGGATATAGTGGAAACTAATTGGATTACAGTCTTTTTCCAAACCCAATATCAGTTTAATGTGGGCTCATTCTGAACCTTGCAACAGTGGCACAAAAACCGTTCAGGAAAAATAACAGTCACTTTAACTTACCAAAACGATCGAAAACAAATTGCATTCCATTCAGAATTCAGAGAGCATTTCAGCGTCAGTAAACACTAGCCGGGTTTCCATCCAAAGTTGCAAATTTAACTTAAGCGCAAAATTGGAATATCGCATAAAACATTTGTGAACAAGCACTGTTTCCATCCAACGAGTTAGAGAGAAAAAAATCGTCACTTCCTGATAAACTGGCACTATAGAAGCCACTGAATACACGGTAATCATTCTCAAATATAATAAATTACTTGCGCTTTGAGTGAGCAGACGAAACACAATAAATGCGGTCTTGCTTTCGGAGGTGAATGTCAGCTGTTTGGGAACGCAGTTGTGGTAGACCGTTCTCGGGCACTTCAGAATGACCATGACAACATTTCAGATGCTGTGCAACAAAATCGGTCCGCTGGTTAGTCAGGTTATGCTGTCCCATAGCGCAAAGTCACATGACTTTTTTTGAACGCTCATGCGGGATTTATTCGCAAAATGCGTTTCCATCTCCCATTATTCGCATCAACCTTTTTCGCACAAGTCAAAAATCACCTCAAGAGAGCGTAAAAACGTTTTTGCGAATTAAGGGATTTCTTTTCGAAATTTGGCGTTTCCATCACTCGTTTCTCATGCGATATTTCAAAATGCGCATTAACACAGGGTGATGGAAACATACTGATAACTCTGAAATAACACAGGGGAAGTCAGGGGAATTCCCCGAAAAACCCGAGCACGCAGCTCCTCCCCTGCTGCCCTCCCCTTCCCGTTCGGGTTTGAGCGAGAGCAGGAGGGAGCGGAGAGATGCCTTTGAAGTTGGCTCGAGCTGGGCCGTCCATCGTTTATTACAGTCACTACTGTATGACGCTCATTTCCTTCTGAATAACGGGCAATAAATCAGACGCATCAAGCCTCCCGGCGTGAGCTCCTGCGTTCTGTTATCACTGCCATCCACGTAAAAATCTGCATGCAACACGGGACAAATATGCATGAGAGACGTCGAGCCATTATAAACCTTAACCTGCTGTAAACATGTAGCATTGTAACTGCGACCTCTGACTGTCAGATACTAATCGGATGCGGTCACAGACCAAGCCCTCCGCGTTTATCTACGGCCTTGTAAAGATCCAATCAGAGTCACATACTGTTAAAAGATAAAATAGTGGCAGCATATATGGGCTG